TGGAGATCAATGGCCCATGTTCTTATATGCTGGGTATGATTACGACCCCGAAGATCCATGGAAGGGTTTGCTGAAGAGCAAAATACTCATCTATGTAAGCTCACTTGTCAGTGATCAAGTTCTCACTCAATACAATATCCCTTAGTAGGGTTTTAAACACATGTTTACTTCTCCAAGTTCAGTAGATAAGGAGCCGAAAGCTACGCACTCCGGCAATGCTTACCTTCATAGCATGAAGTCGGTAACAAAAGGATCTGTAGCCTATATTGCCACACAGGCATGCAGAAATTTTCTTTCCATGTATGCCTCCACCTACTGATTGATCCTTCAGGTTCAGTTTTCATTGTGTTCATCATCCATATTTTCACGGACCGACATGGTCATGGACTCTGAAAATTTCTATATTAGTATTCTTGACCTGCTGGAGGATCCTGATGACAGTCAAGAAGTAGCTGACCTGATGATATGGTGGACACAGTGCGCAATGCATCTCTTCAGACTCGAGAAGCTCTCTAAATTGACACTTTACAAAGTCAAATTTTTCCCAATTCATGTTCTTTGCAACAAGGTATCATTTTCCCATAACTGTTGATCATGTTTTGTAAGCATTTATTGTTGATGATAGAAACCCTAATGTAATTGATGAATGCTCCATCTATGCTATGAAATGTTACTTGCTTTGGTGTCCGTGATAAGTCCTACTGCTTGGACATGATCAGTCATAAAATTGCCATCTTGATGTAGCATGATGATTCAATACCATACCCTGCCACCCTATCAGTGATTATAGAACCTACCATTGGAAGCTGCATAGACGTATTTGGCCGAAGTTCAATATCTTGACAATGCCCGACAATTCAATAGCATACCCTAGAATCATATCAGCTATTATATGTTCTGCCATTGGAAGCTAGATATATAAAGTCAGATATATTCAGTTGAACATCAGCATTTTGTTGGGGCATGATCATACCTTCAACATACGGCTGGTGATTATATATCTCATCATTGAAAACTGTTTATCTAAAACCCAACATGTTTTGTAGAAAATGAGCATCTTGTTATAGTTGCTGTGGCAATATCAAACCCTGACATACTGTTAGTGGTTTCCAGATCCCATCATCAAAAGCTACCTATCTAAAGTTGGATATATTTTCCAGAAAATAAGCAACTTGCTAGTTGTTGCTGTGGCAATATCATATCTTGACACAAAGTTAGTGATCATGAATTCTGCCATTGGAAGCTGGCTATGTAAGAGTAGATACATTTGACAACAGTATACCAGTATGCTACTAGATCACAATGTACCACCACAGAACTGTCAACATTGTAGCATTGGGAGATCTCACCTGTGTAGTCTACCTCTCTATGGCTTTATCATGTGATCTGCAATTGTGATATATATTTTCAACATTGTACATAAAATAAAGCTAGCTAAATCTTTGTTATACTCGGGTCAAATGCCTGATGAAGTCTTTGCTCACCATTCACAGTTGGTGAGTGTGTCAATCCTCATTTGAGCAACAGCCATGCTGATCCAAGTCGTGTGTGTCAATCTTCATTCGAGCAATGGCCATGCTGATCCAAGTCGTCAGCCACCGTTCGCAGTTCGTGAGTCTGTCGATCCTCATCCGAGCTTGAGCCATGCTAATTCAAGTCGCTGCCTGCCATTCACAGGAGGTGAGTGTCTCATTTTTACAATTGCTAACTTCATATATATATGTATTACCCACGGGTACAGGTAAGGGTACGAGCTTGCTATACCCCCCAAAAACCTGTACCCAGGTGCAGGTGCAGGTAAGGTCTCTGACACCCCGGGGTTTACCCATGCAGATCCCTAGGTTCAATATATAAAGTGCTTTTATGATGGTAGATGTTGGGTGACAAAATGGATGAAACTCATAATGAGAGATTAGTATTGCACAATGCAGTAGGTACAAACAAGAGAAGAAAAGAAAGAGCTCAGTGAGACTCAAGTCTTGTGAGCGATGTGGCAGAGCAAAAACAAGAGACAATACCAGCATTTTCTGCTCACCCAAAGACCATACTCTACATCAGGAAACCGGCAAGAAAAAGGTTTTTATAGATATAAATGGCAAATTCAGATCACATGTTCATTGAATTATATCCAAAGACAAAGCAATAAATAATGGTAGCATAATGGTATCGAAAGATAAGAAGGTGCAAGAGAAAAATCATCTTGATGAAGATATACATGCTTCCCAACTGCGACATATGACAGATAAACTGTTGCAGGTAGTCCAGCAGCTCTCCAGAATAGTGGTCATCCTTTGCCTAAGATGGACTGCATGATGACCATTGGCAATGCCGACCAGGTGGCAATCATGAGTTACAAAGTACATGCAATGTTGATTCCAAATGGTCATCAGTCATAGTTGTGATTTGTCTAGGGTAATATATTGCCAAACACAAGCAATTATTGTTACCTGCCATCTAAGGTAAACTTTATGATGGCCATTGGCAATGCCAACCACGCGGCAATCATGAGCTAAAAACACATGTAATGTTGATACCAAATGATTGTCAGTCATAGTTGTGATCTGTCTAGGGTAATATATTACCAAACACCAGCAGTTATTATTACCTGCCATCTAAGCTGAACTTTGCGACAGATGTTTGCATTGACAACTAACAAGCTACAAAATGCACATAATACTAATATCAATTGGTTGTTCATCATAGTTTTGCCAGTGACTTGTCTAGTAAAATGACTTGGTAAATACAAGCAGTTCTCAACCAGTCTGCAATGGTCATCCGCTGAACTTTCTGGCAGTTGTTTGGGATCCGATGGTGCCAGTCACAGTAATGAAGTTACAAATCTGCACGCTAATATTGCCATGAGACAGTTATTGACATAGTAAGATACAAGTAAATCTACCCATAGTTCATCTTCGACGCATCCTCGTCTGTTAGGCTTTCATCGTCAAATTAGGATGTGTCACCTTTTACTCTAATCTGTGCAACCTCGGCAGCTTTTTGGGCTCTCCTCTTGACTAAAAGAATGAAGTGGGACACGCGAGAAATTAGGCACGGTGAAAATGGTAAAAAATACTCACTGTCAGCCAGATACCTTCCTTGATGCTGTACCCATGGCTACACAGTAAGAACTATCTTGTCGAAGCTGATGGGGGGTCTTGTCTGTAATATAACTTGCATTGAAAGGCCGCAGAAACTTCAGCAGCATAATGAGAATTGAGCTTGAGAATAGCTTCTGACATTTAAAGTGTACCTAAAACAATGGGATCGTCTGATCTCCCAGGTAGAGGTGGTGGTGAACCTACTCCAAGGTCATAGTACTTCCTCAAGATGTCTAGCGCGATACTTTGCAAGAGGTCCTGAAGGTGTTTTCGTACAATGACACCAAGTGAGGATTGGGCAGAATCACGGTTGAAGAGCTTTGAGGCAATGTTGGTCGCAGCGAAGACGAGAGCACTGTAGGGACTGACTTCACACGTTGGATCATTGATAATGTAGGTGTGCACTGTGTGCTGTGGGATACAGTGTTCCTAAAATTGACAACTTGCTGGCAAGATCTTGGGGCTTGTAGGATCTTGACTTTGGTCATCTCCAGTGGGTAAAGAGCGATGTCGGTAGAGTTCTTCTGTTTGCCAGCCAAGTTCATGTACTGGTCCAGGAAAAATTCATGGAGACCGTAATTGAACACGCCTTGTAACGAGTACCAACAAAGATTGGACCAAAGCCTTTCCAGATACCAGTCTGACCCTCCTCATGAATGAGTGTGGCAAGACCAGATGTGAGGTTGTTGTATCTTATAGGGTCCACCTGTTCACAAAAGCTATGAGATATCACGGAGTCAAGAAGAGCGAGATAAACTGGCCTGCATGTTGCACTTACTAGCCACATCAAGAGTAGGGTGCCGGCGTGAGTGATACTGCATTCAAGAACATCACCGGGCATGCACTTGACATAGTATGCAGTGCCACGCCTGAGTTGGGATCAAAGCAAGAGAAATGGTGTGCAGACTGATTCTAAGTTATTGAGAGGATATGTTGAACTTGACTGAAATTGTGAACCTCAGGCTGGTGAATGTGTGGCAGTGCAACTAAGAAAATTCATGTGGCGCTATTAAAAACATAATCTGTCATATCATATCATATACTATCTCACCGATTGTCTTGACCTTCCGAAATTTGGAATTAGCGTGTCGAAACACTACAAGAAATTATCAGGGCAGGTTGATTCAAACCAAAAATGAAATTCAGTCATGTGCCATCGTTCTGTTATTATGTACTGGTACTACTATGTCCTATGTATACAATGTATAGTGTGTAGATTTTGAAGATTTGAAAGATACATGAGTGATTAGTCCTCTAGCAGTGGGGGAGCTTGGTATGAGTACTACTAGAAATCTAGTGGGTAGGACTAGTATGGGGTGTATGTGTGTTATGGTATGCATGTTGGGTCATCAGGTCATTATGATTGCGGTAGCCTTCAGCCCATGTTCATCCCTAAAACAATTTGTTAGTTGTGAATAAATCCAAGGAGAGAACTCACCCCTCGAATCAGTGATTTCAATCGTTGCACGGTGCAAGTACAAAAGTTGGTGCAGAAGCACATCAATCTCCTGATTAGGCTTGGCGCTCGTGGAGTGGTGGCCGCCTCGGGTGCTGAAGTCAGGTTCCATGGCACCGACTCGGTCATGGTACTAAATGTGTACCATATTTGATGCTAACAAGTCCAGCTGCATCTGTTAAATGTAAATTTGGGCTAGATCACATATGTGAAAAAGACTTACGCAACCATTTCCAACCTGAGGTCCATAGATGACGTGAGACATATCTAACTTGAATTTTAGTCGACTTGATGCAATCGAGGAGATCTGGAGTGCTTACTGTGAATTTTCCTAATATGGGTTTATCGGATGTGTAGTAAAGATCGTGAAGGTATCAGTAACGACAGCACCAAATAAGGCCAAACAAACCTCCTGATCCTTGAAGGCAAGCATGGTCCGGGGTGTCCTCGGGGGTCGCTGTCAGTCGAGTCTGCGCCTAGTATCTGCTACTTACCACCCGATACCAGTAGAAATCCGAGAATACTTACAAAGGAGGAGATGCAATGACGAGACGTGTACATTGTCCAACTTGTGGGATACCAGTACATACGTCAGATGGAAAAAAAAACTAAGTCCCAGTGACATACTGACTCAGAATCTGTGAAAAAGGCCCGTAGCTGGAGATGAAACGACCACGGATTGTATGGACATGATCAGGCTCAGTCAGTATTACCTTGCGAAGCAAATCTTTGACATCTTGCTGTTTTCGACGCAAATACACGGAAATCGATTGCAATGCCAATAGCATACAATACAAAACATGCCAATAAAATCCACCTCAGGGCGCTCATTCGCACTAGCTCCTCTATCCATATTTGTGGTCCACACGTTGTCGCCAATCTAGATATAGAATACACAAATCAGTATACAATGAGTAGGAACAGTATCAGTACTTACCAGATTCAAAGCCTCGATGTTGTAGTTCTGTAGCAAGGTTTTGCTGAGATCACTGGTGGTTGTCACGATGGTGGTGGTACAAGAAAGGGATGCAGCAATATTTGCATTGATGAGGGTGAGAGGAGAGTTCATTGAAATTCTGAATCGGAACTGTTGAAAATTTTTCAAGATATGGTATGATGTTGTAACTTGCAACTGAGGGTAGTGATGCATCGATGAAGCAGAAGCTCGCGCAAAATATGAGTGTTTCAATCTTGAATTTAATTGTCCAATATCTCTCATGCAATGCCATGTATCTCATCCTATATCTTGCTGTCATTTCAATCCAAGCACAAGTACTTTGAATTTTTCTCATGCTAGGAACTCGTCGCTGATAGTATTATTATTAGTATATGCTATATTGTCTCATCAATAATGAATCATCTCGACTTCTACTTAGCTCGTCACTTTTGCACCCCTCCTGAACAGACAAGTATATGATGGTTCATCATCAGCCTTACTCCAACTCGGTTACATAGGTTGCAGCATCTAAATAGAATGTGGAAATCTGTTCCCATAATGCCATCGCCAATGGAACAGTTGAGCCTTGTCATCAATTCTGTTTGTTCCCTCCAAGTCCATTCCAGTTGAATAGGGTGGGTTTTTTCATGCTCTTCTAGACAATTTATCAATAAACTATGGCGTTGCAGCATGCAACAAAGCAAGCTCATACCTCGAAGAGGGTAATTGAAGGTAACTAGAGACAATCGGTGATAGTGCGTGTCGATTTTCACTAGAGGATGTTTAGTTTGCAATCTTATCAGGAATAACGAATGCTGACCTTGATACCCACATCTGTCAGATGCGCATCTTGCATTCCAGTAGATCTTATTGGTGGCCTTATCTCTCCAAGAGTACACTGCTGCCTCTATGTACTCTCTTGTACCACTGGAGGCACATAAGCAACACGGATATCAAAATTCGTGTTTGTTACGGTACTTCTCGAAGTTCGACAGCGGAACTTTCTTTCCCTCGTCATCATTAGGCCTGCATTTTGAGGTATGTTAACACTCAGGAGTCATACAAAATCCTAATGGCATCTCACCAGTACCATTCAGTCATCAATTCCGACACGCTGTCATGATGCAGGAGGGCAAAGTGGCAGGTCATAGCCTCCGTAGCAAGTTTGGCCAACATCAGAGCGGTCTCATGATAGTCTGGTGGAGCAGTGATTGTAGAAGAAGGTGAAGATGGAGTTTCCATTGGGTCAATCAATGCAGTAAGTAATTGTTACTTTTTTATGAGGCTTTTAATCATACCGATTTGGCCCAGCTTTGTCTACTATAATCAAATCCATCCGCCCTCTGACATCCCCGCCAGACTCAGAGCTGCCAGGGTTTTGACCTGTGGGAATATGGCTGCTGGTGCCTTGGTTTGTCATGTCTATCATTCCTGATGAAAAACGGTGAGTCAATTTGATCTCTTGCAGTTGTTACATCTCATCAGTTCTGAATGCATCTCACTGGTTCATCGGCAAGGTTTTTTAGATGTACTTGCACGCGCGAGTTCACTCAAGAGAGTGCCTACACCAAGCATCAGCAATCGTGTGCAAAAGGCAAGAAACAGCTGTTTTCTGCTTTATCAAAAGCAAAAGACTTCCTGGGCTCTGCAAAGCGGCCCTGACTGGGTGCTACTGATGATAGATGGGATGCACACATCAGCATGGAATCTTTGAGTACGCAGCTGCGCCGTCCACACACCCTGTCATTGCCTTCTCACCAGGTCAACGAGACAGTGATCGCAGAGTCTTCCGATGTTTACTCCATTTCATTGACTGGGCGTCCTATGCTGGAGGTGCCATGTTCCCCGTTGCAAGGCAATACTCCCATTTCGACATCCACTGCCAATCTTGGCACAGCGGCTGCGGAGACAGATGGTGATTCCTCACTGGTGCAGCGCAGAACTCGACGTGTTGATGTTTGGATGCCACTACACTATCGACAGCATGACAATGTACTCCCACAACCTCCCCCAAGCGTTCCAAGCCAAGTTGCCCCACTACAGGAATTTATCCCACCCTCAAATCCCACTGACGTGCCTACCACGACTTCCATGTCATTGAAATCTACTCCTTTCCGCATGGCCAGGAATGTTTTTGGACTCGTACGCCAATTCTTCTCTTCAGCCCCCCCATCTCATGACCCCAAAGAGGCTGCAACACTTCAAGATATCAGCTATATCCCCACAGTTCCTCTAACAGACCTAGATGGCCTTGCTGAGCCTCGCAACTCGTTTCATCCATACCCTAACCAATCGTCTTTTAAGCTCGGACATTGGTACTGGAACGGCAGTGTGCAGAAGTCGCATCAGAGCTTCAAGGAGTTACTTGATATTGTTGGACGTCCAGACTTTGATCCTGGCGATGTCCAGCCACATATTACAGTGACCTATCTCCGTATAATACGAGGGAACGGACATGCATAATATCCTGTATGATACGGGCCAGCGGACCATGGGCCCATGATAAAAATATCCTCGACTATGACGGATGGGCCGGGAGGCAAATTATTCCCGATGGAGGCGGGTGGGCCCATGCAGGGAATATATAGAGTAGATGAGTGGGCCGATGTACATGAATATTAGGTAGACGGGTGGGCCGAGGTAGTTGGATATTATGCAGATGGGTGTATTAAGGTAGATGCGTATGAGATAGATGGGTAGGTACTTGTTATCACATTCACGGGTGGGCCCAGACACATATTAAATTAGACGGGTGGGCCGAGGGTATTATAAAATATTGTATTAGACGGGTGGGCCCAGACACATATTAATTAGACGGGTGGGCTGAGGGTGTTGTATGGGATGTTGTATTAGACGGGTGGGCCGAGGGTGGTATAAAATATAGATGGGTGGGCCCATGTGTATCATAATTGTAGACATGATGGAGCTGAGGTAGTTGTACATCAACCAAATCAGAGGAGGTAATAAATCAAAGTTACCAAGTTCCCGGAGCAGCAGGTGATCTCCTGACATGGCCTTTGATGGTGCACAGGTTGTCTTGCAAAATTTGGAATCCGGGGTGCGAAGCTTGTGTTGCCCTATGAGATGCCAAGTTCCAACCACCCAAATTTGGGTCAACCATACCGACTTCCGAGTTCCGGGACCCGGGAGTTGACAAATGAATATCTGATAACCAGCACACTTCCAATCAGGTAGTATTTCATTGAGCAATGGATCATCCAAGGGGTCCCTTATCGGACTCGGTAGTCAATATAGGCAAATGATAATGAAAACATGAAAGTTGTGATTATGCTATTTTTCAAACCCGAGACCCTGAAACCCATTGTTCAACATGTCCATTTTTCACTCACTGCACAAATCACCGAGTTTCAAGTGCCGAAACCCAAAACTCGAAACCCAGTGTGCAACACGTCGATTGTTCATTTACATTACACAGATCATTGAGTTCCGAGTGCTGAGTGCTGAAACACGAAGCCCAAAACCCGAAAATATGTATGGAACATGTCCATTTCTTACTCATTGCACATATCACTGAGTTTCGAGTGCTGAAACCCGAAACTCGAAACCCAGTGTGCATCATGTCCATTGTTCAATTATATTACACAAGTCATCGAGTTCCGAGTTCCGAGAGCCAAAATACGAACCCTGAACCCCGAAAATATGTGCGCAACATGTCCATTTTTCACTCACTGCACAAATCACCGAGTTTCGAGTGCCAAAGCATGAAACTTGAAACCCAGTGTGCAACATGTTGATTTTTCATTTATATCACACAAATAACCAAGTGCCAAGTGCCAAGTGCCGAAACTTGAGACCCGAAAATATGTATGCAACATTTCCATTTTTCACTTGTTGCACAAATCACCGAGTTTCAAGTGCCGAAACCTGAAACTCAAAACCGGGTGTGCAACATGTCCATTGTTCAATTATATTACACAAGTCATCGAGTTCCGAGTTCCGAGGGCCGAACCCCAAAAATATGTGCACAACATGTCCATTTTTCACTCATTGCACAAATCACCGAGTTTTGAGTGCTGAAACCCGAAACTCAAAACCCGGCGTGCAACATGTTGATTTTTCATTTACATTACACAGATCATCGAGTTCCGAGTGCCGAGGGCCGAGACCCGAACCCCGAAAATATGTACACAACATGTCCATTTTTCACTCATTGCACAAATCACCGAGTTTTGAGTGCCAAAACCTGAAACTCGAAACCCGGCATGCAACATGTCCATTTTTCATTTATATTACACAAATCATCGAGTTCCGAGTGCCAGGGGCCGAGACCCGAAGCCCGAGACCCGAAAATATGTATGCAACATTTCCATTTTTCACTTGTTGCACAAATCACCGAGTTTCAAGTGCTGAAACCTGAAACTCAAAACCGGGTATGCAACATGTCCATTGTTCAATTATATTACACAAGTCATCAAGTTCCGAGTTCCGAGGGCCGAAACCCGAACCCCGAAAATATGTGCACAACATGTCCATTTTTCACTCACTGCACAAATCACCAAGTTTCGAGTGCCAAAACCAGAAACTCAATCCCCAGTGTGCAACATGTCCATTTTTCATTTACATTACACAGATCATCAAGTTCCGAGTGCCAAGGGCCGAGACCCGAAGCCTGAAATCCAAAATCATGTACACAACATGTCCATTTTTCACTTGTTGCACAAATCACCAAGTGTCGAGTGTCGAAACCTGAAACCCAGTACTTCACATGGACACAAATTGTATTTGTATGTATTATCCATTGGTGTAGGGTTCAAATAACTTGGTAATTGTATTTGTCAGTACTCGGTACTTGGTACTCGGTGATCGGTGGTCAGTGGTCGGTACTCGAGACTCGGTAGTCAATATAGGCAAATGATAATGAAAAATGACAGTTGTAGTCCACGTCAAGGTGAGTGTCTTGGTAGTCTTTCCTTGTCATTCGGCAAAACATCAGCAATAATGAAAAAATGAAAGTTGTTATTATGCTTAACTTCCTTACCGAAGGTTGTAGTCCAAGTCCAGGTGAGTGTAGTGGTAGTCTTTTCTTGTCAATTGGTTATCTTGTTACTCATTATGCAGTACTCGGTACATGGTAATTGGTACTCAGTATTTGGTTTTGATACTCGGTACCTAGGAATCAGTAGTCAGCTTAATGAAGGTTGTAGTCCGAGTCTAGGTGAGTTTATTTGTAGTCTTTTCTCATCCATTAGTTACCATGTGACCGAGATATAAGCTAAAGAAATCCGAAACATCAATAATGACAAATGAAATACATGTGTGCAGTAAGTGAGTGTAAAGATAAAAGAATGAATATTAATAGCGAGACTTGCACATTATGTCGAGATATCCAACATAACAAGCCTGTGATGTGATGAGAGACCTGGAATAACACCCATATACATCCATTATAATAGCTTAAAAGCCTAGAAAGATTCATGAAGGATTGATGTAATGATAGGCAAAATGACATATGTGTGGAGAGTGACAATAGACATCTTTTATACAAAGTCACATTTATATATGATTCAGGCCGAAAATATCATTACAAATATGTAGGATAGATCGTAAACTACCCAAGGAACCCATACTGCCTACTGCCCTGAGGGTAGGGGGTGGGTAGAAGGGATATAGTGAAAATATGAGTTGACCCAGCATTAAAGTCCTACCACTGCTCAACTAACCATTTTCGATGCTTTGGGTCTTTGAAGTTTCCCACACTCAATTTCTTACCCATTTCACTTCCTCAGTACTCAATTCTTGGTTGATTTGTCTGTAAATTTATGTCTATGATACTTAAGATATTTGAAATGTACCCCAGGTTTCTGATTACGAAGATTCAATGTTTTGAAGGCATGGGCCCCTTATCAGGCAAAATGGCAAGTATACACACTAGCTCACAAACTCCAGCCTATTGTGAGCTGATCTTGGTCATAAGAAGCAAGAATATAAGCTATGCTCATTATATATTAAAAGGTTGGATCATGGATGCAAGGGCAAGATACTGAAAATCATGAAAAAATGTCAAAAGTGCAATTGTCTATGCTTTGTTCCTGGAGAAGGATCCTGTGTGTCCTGGGCTGGTTATATGATATATCTACTCCGAATATGCTCAGGAATAGACTCCCTACAGTCCTTGAGGTCCAGTCCTACAGGGAAAAAACCCCAGCGGGTGAACCACCAGAAGAGGGGGAGGTACACTATACAATAAAGGATTACCCTATGGTCCTGAGCTCCTGATACATTGTTTCTATTGTTGAATAGATGATTGAGATATAATTTCAAAGTCTATTCACCTAGAAATGAACACATAGGAACATATTTTGTATTTTTATGTATATATGCAATATCCATTTAAGCACCAAGTCTCAACTACCGATTACCAAGTCCCGACACTTGATAGTTGATAGTCAGTATTCGAGCTCCGAGTGCCAATATTGCCTACCAATATCTCAGTCAAATGATAACCAAACCAAGACCCAAGTTCCAAACCTGACTACCGAATACCAAGTATCAGTACTTGGGACTCGGGACTATTGGCTGGAGTATCCAACTATTGATTCCCAGGTACCGAGAATTAGAACCAAGTACCGAGTACCTGACTACTGATTCTCGGGTACCAAGTATCAGAACCGAGTACCGAGTACCCGACTACTGATTCTCGGGTATCGAGTATCAGAACCAAATACCGAGTACTGATTCCCTTGTACCGAGTACCGAGTAATGAGATAACCAATTGACAAGAAAAAACTACCAATACACTCACCTTGGCTCGGCCTACAACTTTTGTTCAGGAACTTAAACATAATAATAACTTTCATTTTTCATTATCGCCGATGTTTCAGATTTCTTTAGCTTATATCTCGGTTAAATGATAACTGATGGACAAGAAAAGACTACCAATACACTCCCATAGACTCAGACTACAACCTTCGGTAAGGAAGTTAAGCGTAATAACAACTTTCATTTTTCATTATCATTTGCCTATATTGACTACCACCAACTACCAACTACCAACTACCGAGCACTGACAAATACAATTCCCAAGTTATTTCAACCCTACACCAATGGATAATACATACAAAGACAGAATTCATGTCCATTTGAAGTACCGCGTTTCGGGTTTCGGCACTCGACACTTGGTGATTTGTGCAATGAGTAGATGGGCATGTGGCATACATGTTTTCGGGCTTCGGGTTTCAATATTCGGCCCTTGGCACTCAATGATCTGTGTAATGTAAATGAACAATGAACATGTTGCACACCGGGTTTCGAGTTTCGGGTTTCGGCACTTGAAACTCGGTGATTTGTGCAACAAGTGAAAAATGGAAATGTTGCATACATATTTTCGGGTCTCAGGCTTCGGGTCTCGGCCCTCGGCACTCGGAACTCAATGAATTGTGTAATGTACATAAAAAATGGACATGTTGCACACTGGGTTTCAAGTTTCATGCTTTGGCACTCGAAACTCGGTGATTTGTGCAGTAAGTGAAAAATGGACATGTTGTGTACATATTTTCGGGTCTCGGGCTTCGGGTTTTGGCCCTCGGCACTCGGAACTCGATGATCTGTGTAATGTAAATGAACAATGAACATGTTGCACACCAGGTTTTGAGTTTTGGGTTTCGGCACTTGAAACTCAGTGATTTGTGCAACAAGTGAAAAATGGAAATGTTATATACATATTTTCGGGTCTCGGGCTTCGGGCTTCGGCACTTGGCACTTGGCACTTGGTTATTTGTGTGATATAAATGAAAAATCAACATGTTGCACACTGGGTTTCAAGTTTCACGCTTTGGCACTTGAAACTCGGTGATTTGTGCAGTGAGTGAAAAATGGACATGTTGTGTACATATTTTCGGGTCTCGGGCTTCGGGTCTCGGCACTGGGCACTCGGAACTCGATGATTTGTGTGATATAAATGAAAAATCAACATGTTGCACACTGGGTTTCAAGTTTCACGCTTTGGCAGAACTCGAAGCTGTTGTGATTTAGATATCACCCGAAACCCGAACACCCGAATGTCAAATTTTCAGTGCCGAACCCCGAGTGCCGGGTGCCGAGTCCTGAAACCCGGAACTCAGGATTTGACATTTGAGATGAACGAAATTTTTCAGACATGTTTGAATTAACCTACATATATCTATAAACATTTCACTAACCCCCGAACCCCGAAAGATATTTTTGTTGTCTTACATACTGAGTTCCGAGTTCCGAGACCCCCGAACCCCGAAACCCGGCAGTCCACAATTTCAGGGTTCGGGGGTTGGTAAAATGTGTATGGATATATGAAAGGTTGATTTAAACATTTTTGAAAGATGTCTCATATCAAATGTCAAGTCCCGAGTTTTGTATATCCATAGACATTTTACCAACCCCCGAACCCCAAAATTGTGGACTGCCAGGTCTTGGGGGTCGGGGGTCGGCACTCGGGACTTGGGAAATTTGGGGAGATCAATAAAATTTGATCTACAATAAATTTGATTTACAAACAAATTGATTTACAAACTTTTGAAAGATCTGTGTCGTCTCACATATTGAGTCCCGAGTTCCGGGACCCCCGAACCCCGAAACCCGAGACCCAGCAGTCCACAATTTCGGGGTTCGGGGGTTGGTAAAATGTCTATGGATATACAAAAGGTTGATTCAAACATGTTTGAAAGATGTCTTACCTGGAACACGGGACTCGATTTTTGAGATGAAAGACATCTTTCAAACATGTTTGAATCAACCTTTCATATATCCATAAACATTTTACCAACCCCCGAACCCTAAATTGTGGACTGCCGGGTCTCAGGTCTCGGGGGTCCCAGAACTCGGGACTCAATATGTGAGACGACACAGATATCTTTCAAAAGTTTGTAAATCAATTTGTTTGTAAATCAAATTTATTGTAGATCAAATTTTATTGATCTCCCCAAATTTCCCAAGTCCTGAGTGCCGACCCCCAACCCCCGAGACCTGGCAGTCCACAATTTCGGGGTTCAGGAGTTGGTAAAATCTCAGGGTTCGGGGTTCGGCACTGTGAAAATTTGACATTTATATTTTTGCGAGTGTTGTGCTTCTGGTGTCTGTGTGTAGAAATAGGATATATTGCACACCAGGGTTCAGGTGTGGGGTTTTCCCACTTCAGTACTCAATTATTGGTCAATGCCACACATGGTCGATTCATGTTTTCGTGCTTACGGGTTTAGATTTTGGTGGTTGATGGTAGGTATATGCACTCATAGTGTGCATGTATCCTACGTGTTTGATTCGCTGGTGGCTACATCAGCTGTATGTCTTGATGAAACGTATCTAGGCTCACCCATATATGTACCTATCTATGTACAATTCCCCCACGTCAGCCCACCCATCTATGTAATATCCCCCACGTCGGCCCACCCATCTATGTAATACATCCTATGTTGGCCCACCCGTCTATATAATTATACCCCACCTCGGCCCACCTGTCTATGTAATAAATATTTTATCACACCCTCGGCCCACCCGTCTAATTAATATCCCTTATGTCGGCCCACCCGTATATGTGATATTCCACCACCTCGGCCCACCTGTCTATGTAATAAATATTTTATTGCACCCTCGGCCCACCCATATATGTGATACTCCCCACCTCGGCCCACCCGTATATGTCATATGCCCCACATCAGCCCACCCGTTTATGTAATATTCCCCTACCCCGGCCCACCCGTATATGTAATACACCCCTGTTGGCCCACCCATCTATATAACAATATTTGCCTTACATCTCTCTTCAGCCCAGCTGTCTATAATATCCTACTCTACATATTACCCAGATGGGCCCACCCATCTCCATGAATGATCATATTCCCCCGGCCCATCCATCAACATGAAGGATATATATATCATTGGCATACATGGGCCCACCCGTCTCCATCGGAAATAATATGTTACCCGGCCCATCCGTCGTCATTGATGATATACACAACATGGGCCCATGGTCCGCTGGCCCGTCTGATACGGGATATTATGTAGGTCAGGTGGCCCGTATAATACAGAATTTGTCACTGAAGGGGCTCGTCCAGCACACACATTGGGACAAAATCAACTCACAATTGGGTGCGAGCGTGGATGATGAGGGGGGAGCCGAATGGGAGGATGAGGATGCAGGTTGGTGCAAAATGCCAGTAGTCATCGAAGTACCTTTCTCTTGGACTACAGCTCACCCTGACGTCCGGCCCTATGTTGCAGCAGACCTTTACCATCGGCCTCTTATGTCAGTTATTTGGGAGAAGCTTGCAAATGTTCATGACGATGATCATTTTCATTATGAACCATATGAGCTGCAATGGCAACCTCCCCATCTCCCACACGAAGTGAACATTCAGGGTGAATTGTACACTTCGCCGGCCTTCATGCATGCACATTGTGAACTTCAGGCATCTCTGGCAGAAGCAGGATGCGATTTGCCACGCGTGGTAGTTGCACTCATGTTTTGGTCCAATGCCACGCAGCTAACGACATTCGGTAACGCAAAATTGTGGCCGGTATATATGTACTTCGGAAACGAGTCGAAATATCGCCGCTGTAGACCATCTTGTCGTTTGGGCAATCATGTAGCCTACTTTCAAAAGGTACGGTCATCATTATTTTTCTGTACTGCATCGAAACTCAGTCTCTGCAGCTTCCGGACTCATTCAAAGATTTTGCAGGGGACTTATACTGAAGGCAAGGGAATTGGCCACGAATGCACAACACATTATCACTGTGAACTGTTTCAAGCTCAGTGGAGAGTCTTGCTCGACGACAAATTCTTAGAGGCATATAAACATGGGATCGTGGTTCTCTGTTGCGATGGCATCGCACGCAGATTTTACCCATGAGTTTTTACTTATTCTGCAGACTATCCCGAAAAGTGAGTCTGTATGCTCGTCCATCATCCATAGGACTTGAATACTCATTTAAGCTAGGGTCCTTGTTGCCACTATCCGACAGTTAGGAGGTTGCCCTTGCTCGCGATGCCTCGTACTGATGAACATGCTTCACCGTTTGGGCACGAGTTGCGATAGGCAACAGCGTGTGACTCTTGCGCGCTCGGATACCTCGAGGAGTCAGCTGGTTGCTACCGCACGAGACCTCATCTACCAGAACAATTTAGGTGTAGACAGTGCAGCAGTCGAGTCAATTCTCAAGCCTAATTCGTGGGTGCTGAACACTGTAAAAATGGTTATCAGTTCATGGTCCTACCTTTGCTAACTTTTTATTAGAATGTGTTTTCAGACACTCTGGGTCCATTTGGATTTAATATCTTTATTGAGTTGGTTGTCAATCTTCTGCACGAAGTTGAACTTGGAGTGTGGCGGATGCTTCTAGTCCATTTGCTAAGAATTCTTACCACTTTGAACAAGGACCTAATTCATGAGGTTAACAGGAGGTGTGCTAAAGATCTATCTTACAATGATTTGGCAGGGCTAATACTCAATTTTAACAGGTACAGGCAAGTCCCCCCATTCGGACCAGCAACCATCAGGCGGTTTTCTTCAAATACTTCTGAGATGTCAAACATGGCTGCACTGAAATTTTGAGGATCTTCTACAGGTATGCGCTCAGAATGATTCTCAATACGTATTTTTCATAGACTGATTTTGTCCGAGTGTTCTATCCCGGTCTTCGACGGTCTGTTCCCTGACGCTCACAATAAGATTGTCATGAGTCTCCTTTTTACTATGTCTCACTGGCACAGACTTGCAAAACTTCATATGCACTCCGACCTCACTTTGAAGATACTCGACCAAACAACAACTGATCTTGGCGAGCAGTTTAGTCTATTGAAGGAAATGGTGTGCGCTTCATACCAAACGCAGGAGCTTGATCGTGAAGTTGATGCGCGATCTCGCTGGCAGGCAAAGGAAGCGGCCAAATGGGCTGAGAATAGCAAGGGAAAAAGCAAAGAAAAAGAAAAGGCTGAGTGGAGAGCAGTCGCATGCTGTACCTGGACCAAAGCAACCAGCGGAGGAAGAAATCGTTCAATATCCAAACTTATAAGTTCCATGCGCTAGGGGATTATGTGGCCTCCATCCGTTTCTTTGGCACAACGGATTCATACAGCACTGAACCCGTAAGTTCCAAACTGCTGTCTATCCATTCATTGACTCAATTTGTATCAGGGAGAGCTGGAGCATCGCACGCCAAAGGGCAGATACCGTCACACTGATAAAAGGGCATTTGTCCACCAACTGACTCAGATCGAGCGCCGTGAGGCTCGCTTGCACCGCATCAAGCAAAAACAACCCCAGCGAGGCCCTCGCATAGAGGCACATAAAATGGCCAGTGACCCTCAGCTTCACCATCATATCGGTCAAGGCAAGAAGATGTACGATGATCTTGGTCAGTACCTCCACGACCATGCAGGAGATCCTGCTATGAAGGTAAATGATTTCTGTGACTTGATGATTATTATGCTGATATATCACAGGAATTCCTTCCTCGATTGAAAGATCATATTTTCAATCACCTCAATCCGGAGATTGCTGAATCACTTGCAGAAACATTAGCCCATTCCGAACAACACAATTCCATCTTTTTCAAACGTAATCGACTTTATCACCACAATCTCGCAAGATTTAACTACACCACCTATGACGTTCGAAGGGCCCAAGATGTCAGTAAACCTATGAACTCTGCATTGCAACATTATGCTACTGAAAAATCGCAATGATAATAGGTACGGTAGTGAGTACTGTTACGCCAAACTCATCGGCATACACCACGTCAACGTTGTTCGCCTCACTGAACGTGTACGAATCTTGTTGAATGGAATTCCTCTTCGTTCAGTGGTATGAATCTGTGCAAGATCACGCATGGGACACCTGTATGTTGGGCTGCGTTCACTTCCGAGCTCTAGCGAATCAGAACATGTTTGGTTTCATGGACCCAGGAGTCGTTCTCAGGGTGTGCCATATTATTCCGGCTTTTTCTCGACACCAGTGCAATCTGGGTGAATGTGGCCTTTCCCCGCTGGCAGGAGACAAGCATGACTGGCCCAAGTATTATGTCAACAGGTGAACGAACACAGATCCCTAGATGATAATGATCACTAATACTAGGAACACGTTAGCTTTGTTGATCATGACACTCTCATGTGGTTTTATTATGGACTTGGGTCGGTCATGTATACTCTCACAAGGAAAAGGCCTGCCCTATTACGCAGATGACAGCGCAGACAGAAAATGAACCCTCAGAAAGTGATGAAACGTTCAGGAAAAGTATGCATTGGCAAGGTTCTGCTAATGATGGAAATGATGATGAGTATGATGACGATGAACAGGACGGCCATGAACAGGATGATGATGGAGATCATGTTGGCGTGGAGGAGCTTGGTTTCTTGTATCAAGGACTCAATGCCAGCACAGAGTCACTCACCCAGGCGTTGGACGAGATGTTTACTACTAGCCATACATTTGATTATGAAAATTGATAATATCAGTACATCCTCCATCATGGTACCCTGATTTCTTCTAAGCATACATTTGCTGAATTGCCATGCCTTGGCACTTTTTGCAGTCCCTCTTACTTGCCCTGGCGCTTTTTTAACCCAATGCCAATCCCTCGACTCGCCCTGGCCTGTCTTTGCCATATTGCCAATCCCTCGCCTCGCCCTGGCACATCCTTGCTATATTGCCAATCCCTCGACTTGCCCTGGCACATTTTTGCTATATTGCCAATCCCTCAACTCGCTTCGGTACTTTATCACTTGGCAATGTTGGTGTGCCCTCACTGATCCCTGGTGCGGTGTCAATAATGCCTGGCTGTTGGAAATATTTGGCGGAACAAATGCACATCTGAATGCTTATTAGGACCTCGTTCGGTGTTGCTTCCCCCATCTTCTTGGTCCCTTCATACTAGCAAGATGCACCAGCCAGCCACCGGTCCAATCTATGTATATGTGCAGACAATTAATCAACTTCTGAGACTTCTGCCTATTAGGGTAAGTACAATCTGCATTGTTGATCGTTCACATCATTGCTGATGGCCTCTTCCTGCAGAACGAAGAGGTTTGTCATCGCCAATTAGTGGTCGCTTTGATTGACTATTTTCCTCCAGCCATTCCATGGTCTGTCTGGTCGATTCCTATTCATAGGATACGTTGGGCATGTACATCAACTCTTGCCAATATACGTGAGGCTATTATCATTAAAGTCCATCTTCCATCTCAATGTTCATTTACAGTGGCCTGAAGAATATCTCACTCTTGCGCATCCACCCCATGGTATCTTACAACATGTTGGATTTTTACTGGTTGTGAATGACACCACGCGGTTTTCTATCTACGAGATAGAGGTAAGAGCCCTATCATACTGCTAAGTCCACATTTGATACGATGAATGTATTAGAATGGTGGTTCTACTTTTCTCAATGATTGTAGAACCAATTTTTGCACGCCCAACTTACATGGCGGCATCTCTCCCATCTGGATGGTGAGTGCCTCTCCAAAGATTAGTACATCGCCGTACTCATTATGCTACATACCCTATAGCTTGATCGACTAGTCAGTGTTCAGGTTCACCCCAGCAACATACCCTGACGGATACCCTCCTCCTGCCCCTCATATACCCGTCAATATCCCAACTTGGGAGACCTCATTCCCTCAGTCGTTGTCCTCTCTGGCACCGTTTTCCCAGATAATGTTCCACCAGTCCCTAGATTTTGAATATGAGCCTACGCTCATAGAATTGACCTCTGTATTTGATTACTTACCCACACCCACTTTGCCAGACGATGAAAATTCTGCATTGGCATCCATCAATGCTCAGCCCTTCAGTGAGATGCAGCCTCCCCACCCAGATCTCATTTGGAGACACACTAGCTGAAACGATCCTCTTGACAAAGACCAAAAGTGACACTGAAAGCCATATTGGCAGCATCACCATGGGGTCGCTCAATCAAACTGGCAAAGTACCTTTTTATCGGGCACCTTCTGGTTGGAATACCCGAAAATTCATTCGTTCTTCCTGAGGATTATTCCCGGCAGTTGATCATGACTAGCTTTTTGAGAGCTCTCCGTTTCAACCAAAAGACTTACAATGAGCTAACCAACGAACATCGTGAGTGTCTGCTTTCAATTCTAAACTTCACTAACTGACAGCATTAATAGTGACGATAGAGAACAAGAATGGAAGCGAGACTACTGTGGGATGGTCATACTTGCGCAACTGGGTAAGCTTGTTTTGATGCATCAGAACATTCATTCACAATCAAATGTCATTGGCAGTTTGCGGACTTCTACATAGAGATCACTTCAGAGATCAGGAAAATCACACAAGCTAGCACATCCCCGTTGACTGAGTTTGCAGTCAATGAGGAGAGGAAGATGCAGAAGATTCTTGAATTGATTGTCGGGCTCAATTCAGGCGACCAAAGACTGGTAAGGGACCATGCAGGCTGCATGATTGAAGCTTAAAGCTTTTAATCTGTCAGGTACAAAATGCTCTCAGCGAACTTATTGCAACACAAGCCTTCAGGGAGGTCCTCTGGGTTGCATTACTCCGACCCATCGCTGAGTTAGCCGAAGGCAATGCGAGATTAGCGGATCTATACCCAGATGCCATTCAAACTTGGATGGGTTACCTATGAAAAGGGATCGTAGGCGTACTGGCCACTTTCATAAGCTTTACTCGTTTTATCCTTCTTCGTACCAATGACGAAAATTGTTTCAGATGTATCAGGCGTTTACTTTGCAGATACCATCTGACTCAACCAACTTGAAAGCGCCTGAGTATTTAGGGAGACAAATGTCTTGGTTATGGAACCCAAGAACAAAGTTCCAAAGCTCATAACAGATGAGATGGGAGTGAAGCGGATGAAGACCTTGAATGATCTTGTGCCAATAGATGTCGTCCTCACCTCTGATTTCGAAGTCCCGCATGCACAATTTGTTTTTCCAGTGCCTAGCAGTGACGTGGAGATGAACATTTCGCACTTCAAGAAGCCTTCAAGTTGATGTTTGCTACTAATGGTGTTGTCATGATTTCAAACTTTTTGTCGTTTTCCTTGGAAATTACATATCATAGTAGCTCAAAAATCAATGAATTTACCAAGTACTCCCGCTGATAAGTTAGGACTGTGTGAAAGACATGTACATAATTTATACTAGATGATGGCAGGTCTTCGTACTATCCGCACCTTGTCTTCAATCTTGTCAGCTTTGCTCTCCTGAGCATCTATTCTTGGACACCACTAGTAATTCAGTGCTACACCCACTTATGTGCAAAGGCATGTGTGGGGGATGGATACCACTCAATAGGAGGAGGCGATTGCCGCATTGGAGGGAGATCATCGATCAGGCGCGGTGTTTTGTCCATCCCACAACAAGTTACTACTAGGAGCACCGTGATATTTTCAACTGGCAGTTTAGCGTATGGTATAATACGATTTCTGTCCCAGTTGAGTGTATTCTACATCTCTTGTTAGTAGTTACCGATTGCAGAGTTAAAAAACAAGTTTGTCTGTCAGGATCCATCTGCAGTCCACAACTTCCTTTCTGCACATTTTGCAGATAATTCCAACCTCATCCCCACGATACTTGTCATACAAGAATGTTGGCATCCGCCACACAGCTTGCATGTGCCTATGCACACTTACTAGTCTTGCAGTTTCTATTATCCGCACAGACATCGTGGATAGCAAAATTGGAATGGAACTCTTTGCATTATTTAAGAAGGAAGACGAGTATAATGCAGCTTTGAATACTATCGCATGCAACTTGGTGAACAATTTCTCACCGCTGAAGCTGATGTGTCTGACATTTCTTTCAAAGGCCGATTCTGAGCAATTCACTTCTCAGAAAAGATTGGAACAAGGACTCCTTCTGTGATTGGTGCAATTACTTGCTTCTGACAACATGGATATGAGGGTTGGTGCTTTGTGGGCAATGAGGAATACCATCCAGAAAAAGCAATTCCAGTGGCACAAGACAGACTAATGACGCATCTATGCTGGCCCCAGCTTGTCATGTCCGTTTCAACCTCTGTGCTGTCGATGGACTATCTTAAGCATCTGTTCCACAGGTTGTGTAACGATTCCAATCCTGAAATCCCAAAAAAACTTGAAGCCATGAACATTTATTCGAATCTATCGATAAGGAGACTCTTGCCATCTGTATTAGTGCTTCTGCCCTACAATTCTCCAACAAGGATCTGACCCGGGTCATGTAATTCTCAACCTGATCCTGCTTAGCAATTTTCACTAACACAGTAGGTGAACAGACCGCATACTAGTTTTTGGGCTACGGCATCTGCAGTCCATAGCTTTTTTTCTGCACATTTCTACTTAAATTCATATCCCAAGTCTCCTTGCCAGATGGTTCGTGCATGACCGGCAAATACTATTACCAGCAGCTGTACCAATACTCATGACTCACCAGGGATTGGGGCAGGGGGCACAGGTCTAGAAAGTTGCATGCCTCAGGTCTGGCGAGCCTTTTGAATACCGGATTCCCAAAATAGGACAACCCACGGTCCCTTTGTTCCTATCGAGAATTGGTAGTTCATTGGTCCAAGGGCCGACTAGCATACAGTACTATGTGTGTTCTGGTGTTGGCCATCTGTATGCAACTGTATGCCCCTCTGAAGGTAAGCAGGTCATTTAACCCGATTGTTTCATTTTCTGAGGGGCGATGCACTGCAATCAAATCAGGTTTTCATAGCTGGTGAGGTCATTTTGATGCCCTGCCATCAAACAACATCAAACAATCGCTTAACAGTACAAATCCCATTTGAATGAGAATCTTGAGATTGTCAATTCAGCACACTTGTACATAATTACAACCGTTTCATGATGTCGCCCTCCTGTCTTCCACCGTTCAATTCCTCAGCCATTTGTATTGGCATGTCCGAACTCTCAAATATACTCACTGGTCCTCAATGGCTTGATTTCTACATAAGACTCATACCAATGGAGACAGCCAGTTCATCTTTTTGAAACATCAATTTGCATGTTCTGAAGGTTTTCGATGCAGGTCTGGACTGAATTATATTTGCTTTACTTCTTGTTGAAAGGCCGAGTTTATCTTGGTGATATTTGGCAAGTAGTTGGGGAACATTTATTGGAGGCGCAGAGGGAGGAATCATTGTGAAGTACTATTGGGGATAGTACAATGTGTGGGGTCATAGAGCGAGCTTTCATGGAAGAGAAGAGTAATAGATGTCAACTGGAAGTATCTCTGTGCAGCCAGGCTATCGATTGCGTGCAGCAGTGACGGATCATGTGTAAGATTCATTTACTTTAGCATGTGAATGAGTGATCTAACATCTTACTACCTAGCAATGTATGGTGTTGCAGCTCCAATCGCGCACAATTTCAGCCCTCTCTCAGCAATCCTGAGATGCATTGCTAGACCTGCTCCTCCCTATTCAACAGCTGCAGTAGCCTATTTGACAGCTGTGAAAAAGAAGTGCGAAGGTTGGCTCAGGACACAACATGTCGACCTCACCCCAGCTAAAAGGCTTCCATTATTCAAATGTCAATTGTACCCGAACGCTTTGACTTCTTCAGTTATTCACCAATTTACCGTTATGCACCTAGAATGTCGAACCTTGGTCATAGTGAATGTCAGTATTATCATTGATATGTTCTGCCTGGCTGTGCTCACTGTCTCATTTAAGCCCATTGACCCCTCATTCTGCCTGTTGAGCACATGGGTCCCTCCTGGCATTCAAGATGCGTTGAATGAGGCACGCAAAGCAGAGCTATGCGCTCAGGCTGGACTGATGGCAATGTACCTTGATATTGATGGTTACAATTCTCACCAGTGCAATACCAGTTCGGAACTACTTTACTTGCAGGCAAGGATGAATCAGGCCAAAGCTGAGGTGGAAGTTTATGAACTGGCCATCGAAAACGCGCCTGCATCCAACTTCTCTGACAATGGTAGGTGTAATCGCTCGTATTCTCTTCAGGTATTGATACCCCTGCAGCTTTGTCATCATCATTACCATGTCCAAATCCTCCGCCACTTCTACCCGAGGATGTCTGTCACTACAAGGAGTACATCAATGCCAAATCATTGGACGATAGCTCTTCTGAACATTTATGGTAATGGCCCTTACAGTCTTAGTCAGGATTTCAGTGCCAGGCTGGGCACATGTATCTTTATATGCTTGTGTATGTATCACCTACCTTGTAAAATCATGTGTAGACCTTAACATCACGCAACAATGAATTAGGCTCTCCAGTAACTACTCAGTTCTGCGATGGCATGCGGTTGAATCTATGCATCAGGCCTAATCACTCACACACTAGCTATTTGCCAATTTTCATCAATATGAAAGCCGCACCAGAGAGGACAAGTATCAAGATCGAAAACATCAAGTATATTGGGCAACATGTATGTTTCTGCTTCATGTCTGCTTGGTGGGTTTTGCTGCTCATCTGGAGGTTCAGGTTTTTGTATCACATGTCCGTTCTGCAAGGATAAATCGATATTCAAAGTCAACTTCCTGTGGAGAATTGACCAAGGCTCTTGTACTGCCGGGCACGTTAGAGACCAATATCCTACGCCAACCCACACACCATCTTGTGAAGTATCGCGGGGGACACGGTCACAATGTTCATTGGAACAACATATTTCAATGGGCGTGTCAATAGCCTGAGGTTAATAGATTCGATGAAGAACATGGCGGACGGAAGAGGGTTACACTTTTATGTGCAAAGGCTTTCATCCCCGATCTGCAGGAAGCCCTATCAATATCCTCATATTTTTAGTCAGCTCACATCTTAGAAAAGTGTCTACTAGTAGTACAAAACTTCCGTGCTAGTTAGTACTAGTACTACTAGTAGTGCGCCAATAAATTCTTCATAGCCAAAAGAGGTAATAGCAAGTGATTGGTAATGCACAAAGATGAGTCCGAGTCGGAGTCAGCCCGGATCATACACACAACCACGACGCAACAACCGCTTGATGAGCTGGAAAAACATGGTACGCTGGATTGTTTTGACGTGCACAGTTATATTGAAGTCGACTGTCATACTATAGGTAGGAAGCTCTCAACAACAGGTGGCCAAGTTGCTTGGGTGTGGTATTGGTATCTGGCCGACGCAACTTCCACGGTACGCTGAAGTAGTAATGCTGTGAGTACCCTTTAGACTATAGCTAATACTTCAATTATCAGTTGAATAACATTTTCTGCATATCACAAGTGCAGACAATGGATATGAAGATAGCTTGGTCCATATAAAGGAAATCGATGACCCCCGGTAGGTCGCCTTTGTTACTCGAAGGTCTCAATTCAATGCTATCAACAGGCCCACAACATACGGGAATTGGCAGGAGCTGGTTCACCCGTTAGGTGGTACTTACTATTATCACAATGCAAAGGTGAGTGTTTCCCGGTTGTATAAATGATGTGTTCACATGATGTACATTTAGAATGTGTTTACACAGATGAACCTTAGATGTTACCTGGATCTACACAGTCTCGAGGATTTTATTGATGCATCGCGAGCCACAATGAACGAAGATGGGTGGCCACTGGTCATTCTCCCAACAATCTTCATGGGAGAAGAACGATTTCAATACTATTATGTGGTCCCTGACCAGCACATCATTGCTTGGCTAGAACATTTGAATGGCGAATTACTATTCAGAGAATATATCCAGCCAAGCGAATGGAGACATAAGAGTATGTTACATTTAGCTTTTCTTCCTCTTTCTCAAGTTTGATTTTGACTACACAGGACTCGAACTCGAGGCTCAATATTGGTGAGTGGTTGCCCTAGGATGTTATCCTGGTTGACCGAGCATTCTCACTACTCGGCAGGAAACACTTTGAATTTTTTCCGCATCAGTTCTGAATGGAAGGCTCACAAGTGAGACGCATACGAAGAGAAGTTGTCTGCTATATCGGAGGTAAGTCCTATACCGCTGCAGCGACTGCCAGAATCATCTGAGAAAAAAAACAGAAGCCACAACCTTAGGTCAATCCTCTGCCGCTTCAATGTTCTGGACTCTTGACCAGATGAACCAGATTGCTACACATTTGGCTACTATCGGTATGTGCTCATGTCTCCTATGTATACCGTTGTAATACTCGAGGAACAGAAAGCCTTGCCGACAATGAGGTCATAGAGGAAACTGGTGTCGTGTTCTGTTGTACATGAACCTAAAGCTGCTTTCGGATACTGATTTCCCTTCTGACAGGCAGAATATTGTATATCATACGTATGTCATTTTCTCATAATCAGATGACATTGTTTTACAAAATCACATAGGGCACCACCAGTTTCTGAATCGCCACAATCAACCTGAAGCCCGGCTTATTCGAAGCCATGCAGTGAAGGAGAAGCATAGGCCGTGTAAACTCCTTGTTTTTATGGGTAATACTGCAGCTATGATGCTGTGCATGCCAATCACAATTGGTCGCATCAGGAGTACCTCTGTTGATGGTATCTTCAACGGGGTGGAAGTGAACTCATTTATCGACGATTTCAGCAGTCAAGCGAAAAGTCAAGTCACTCTGGTAAGTACCATGCGAATGAGAATACCTCCCAACTTATGTTTGCTCTGACAGGCAGGAGTCTCTATGGCCATGGACATCATCATTCTTGCTATTCCAGGCCTAGGTGCGACAGAGACCTCCCAAACTCTGTGTTCCTGTTCTTTACTTTTAGGTGTCAGCTGTATTTTCGCGGGCACGATGGTGCAGCACTTTGGCGAGAGAATGAGATCTATGGACTTCGTGGTATGATTTCTATTATCTTTCTGTAGCATAAACCTAACCTTACTAACCTTACAGTCATATTATTTGTGACAAAAGACGAAGATGTTTATTGCTATTACAGGCATACCAACTTCTTTTTGCGTACTAAGGTAAATAAACTCTGATTATGATTACTTGTGTCTCACAGAATTACTGGCAGTGTGACGGGTTCCATTCTCGGATTTCTCTCAGGTGTCGCCACAGACTTCAAGCCATCCGCACCATTAATGATTGCATCCCTCATTATGCTTGGTGTTGTGATAGCTTCGTTACTTATTTTGGTGCTTGCCAGTTATGGCCCAGGGCCGGCAAGGGTGCGACCCCAGTGATATCCTTGTCTGGATATTCTGAAGGACGTTTTCCTGAGCGGAGTGTCGTAAATCTAGAGTGGAATATACTTCGATGGGCAAATGTACTTGTACGTGCTGTACAAGCACTCTCGTCCAGTAGTTAACGACTGCAGCTTTCTCCCAGTCAAATATATTCAGACGCAACCTATTTTCCTGATGATGGATAGCCTACTTACCCAGGCGTCATTTGGTCAGCATCTTCCAGCAATAAAATGGACATAAAGAAACCACGGCTGTACCATATTTCTATACTAGCGATGGGCCTCCTGCTTATTTTCTTCAGAGCACAGATGTTTCTTTTTATTATCATACTTTTACATCACCATGACAAGGACAAACGACACTAGAATGATGGGGTCACCGACGTGCTCTGCGCTGTGACGAAGTTTTCATGGTAATGCTATGGTCGGTGTTCTCCCGTTATGTCTTCAAACTCGTCATCATTATCATCTGAGTAAGCCAATCAGTTTATTCGAGGAAAGACTGCCTTTGACATACTTTGGATGGGAGAAGGGGCGTCCCATTCAATCTGACGAGAAGAATATGTGTTAATTCCAGCCAGCGCATATTCCTCCAAGATTCTCGCTCGATAATGTTCCTCCAACCAATGCAATCTGTATATCTGGTACTGTGCTTGAAGTCTTGAGCAGCCCAATTCTGTGAGTCGCAGTTGCCCCTTCAGCTTATCTATGGACTCTTCTTCATGCCTCTCATGGTTGTGCTCTGGCAGATGAATGGGAGCCTTCTCGTTCTCTGTTGAAGACGCGTCCTTCTCGACTTCCACCTTTCTGGTACATAATAAACTTCGCAAATCAACAATAATGGTGTCCACGCACCCTACGCCAGCAAGCCCTGCATGTTCACTCCTTTGATCGGCATTGCTTCCTATTTTGATTCTAAGGAACAGAGTTAGCAAGCACTGTTCCAAGTAGGTTCAATTGGATTTACTGGAGATTCAGAGTAATTATGTTCCCAGACAGATTGAAGGTCTGAGTTTGACGTAAGGATTGTTGCATCTTTAGGTTCGAACTTAGGCGGCCGTGTTCTCTAGTTGCAATATGCAAGAAAATGTAATGTCAAGGGAGCTTTTATCAAGCGCATTAATTTGCTGACACCTTTTGAAGGCATGAGGTTCATTGAATCATTCCCATTGATTTGATGAAAGTTCGTTTGGTCCCGGTGGGCCATCTGTTACTGGGCCCCTGCTGGCCACTAGCGCCACAGCCAGCGGTACGCCCTCTGCCTGCATTATCAGGTATGCCCTCTGCCTGAAATCCCACGACTCAGTGCTGAAGATAAAAAGCTGAGTCCCACCCCTATGAAACCCAAACTATCTTTTGCTCCTCACTAGCTCTCATGACAACTGAAAATACCAATTCCAGCATCCCGAGCAAACGTGCTACGTCAGCCCTCCAAATGGGCCCCCGCAAGAAAGCATAAGTTCCTACTGTTGAGGACAGATTTAGCAGACTCATCCTGTCGCCCAGCTCTTCATCAGATCCTCTTATATCGCACGGGCGCCACTTTGGTCGAACGGTGTTTGCGCTCTGCAACTATCCCTCTCTACTTACCAATGGCATCCTCAGACTGGAACAAATGAAAGAAATTCCTCTGGAAGATTTCTGCACTGAGTGAAAAGACTTTATCTTTATCTGCTAGCATGTGAACTGACTCGTTTGGTAGAGAATGATGAGAGCATCGCGTCTTTGAACAGCTCTTAGACTCATATCCTGGCCTATTAGAATGACTTAGGAATGGTTCCGAAGAGGAAATTTTGCACGTTGGAGAACTAGTACATTGTTTTCTACATCACCAGAGTTCATGCTTACAATTTTCAAGATTGGCAAGGGTGCATCAGGCGCGAGAGGTGACGACACCAAATCATTGAAGTCTGCAATACTCAATTAGATTTCCCTGAAAGGAGCTGCAATTCAGCCTCCTTTACATAGGAACTCAAAGATCAATTGTGGATTCAACCACAAACTTACCGGGTCACTACTTTGCCCCGCTGGGTTGGACTGGCACGACGCAGAGTATGCTTTCATTTTCCCACATCCGCAATCCTGACAAACCGAACAGGACGAGAGAGAATCTCTGCAGTGGTGAAATCATGGTCTGTGGAGACCAATGGCCTGTTTTCCTATATGCCAACCATACCTATGATGCTGAAGACCTGTGGTGTGGTCTCCTAAGGAGTCGCTTGCTGACATGTGTAAGCGGGCACTCATTTACACACAGTCCTTCACTATATTACTTTCAGGCTTACAAGCATGTCTTCACATCCCCAAGCTCGGTTGACAAAGATCCAAAAGCCACGTGATCGGGGAATGCGCACCTCCATGGCATGAACTGCATCACCATCGCCTCTATAGCTTATATTGCTACACAGGTTCGTCAACACCATATCTTTGTAGCTCGATGGTATTGATGTATGCACAACTGAAGGTCCGATTTGCTTTAAGCTCGTCCTCCGTGTTTTCACAAACCAATACATCTACAGACTCAGAGATGTTTTACCACAGCCTCCTCGACCTTTTCAAGGACCCGGATGAATCTAAAGAAGTTGACGAGCTACTAATGTGGTGGAATTGGTATTGTTGTGACCCTTCACCATTTCGCCGAGCTTATTACTATGTATTCAGTCAGGTCTTCCCTACTTCTTCTGCCGCCAAGCGGCCTATCAGCGCCAACAGTGCCTTGTTGAAAACTCAACTCAAACGCCTTGCGACTAAAAACACTGCAGCTTTAAATGTTGTAGCCTCTACGTAGTCTTCATTCAAGTGCTTTATATGTAGCAAATACAAATACAACCTAATGCCAGCATATTTTTGTTCTCACAACCAAGCTAACGCGCAGAAGCAATCACCTGAGAAAAGGCAGCTTGGTCACAGCCTACACTGAAAGGCCTTATCTGGCGCCGGCGTTTATAGAGGGTCTGTGGGAAATATATTAACTAACTTACCTTGCAACCGATGATCACACCTCGGCGGTTGCTGCAGTATGGTAACACAATATCATTACTCCCCCCCTTAGGCCAAAGGGAGCTCAAACCAACACAGTCTACCCTTGGAAGATATGGCCTGGTGCCAGCATTCATGGTGAGTTTGTGGTAAGTGCATGAATTCACTCACCTTGCAACTGATGATCACACCTCAGCAGGCGCTGGAGTATGGCATCGCAAGATAATTGCTGCGCACCCTTGGGCCGAAGCCAGCTCAAACCGACACAACCTACCCTTGGAAGATATGACCTAGCGCTGGCATTTATGGAGAGTTCATAAGTGATACATTGACTTGCTCACCTTGCAACTGATGATCATACCTTAGCAGGCACTGGTGTATGGCACTGCGATAGTCATCAGGAACCCTGGATTTTCCATGATTTGGCTGAGTTGTCTGATAGCAGGCCCACCAGGCAAATCAAACAAAGCAGCTCATCAGATTTTGTCTGATTTCATACATGTGTTATCTGAAATCAGACCAATCAGTTCCATCAGACAGTCAGAACATCAAATTGTTCAGACATGCATTTCATCTAAACTATCATGCTGATCAGACACCTCAGCTGATCAGATTGACAGATGGTCAGAAATCTCAGCTCATCATGGCTCACATGAAAATAAAAAATAAAAATAAAAAATGCACCTAGCCAGGTTTGAACTCTCAACATCCATGTGCACACAAGGTCACATGATAACATGCACACTTCGAGTGCAGCATAACCACTAGGCTATGAGACCACATATACTTCTAAGTTATAAATCATATATATACCATATTTACTGGACTTGTGAAATATTTCACAACTTTGTTATTTTCGTTCCATGTCTTAATGAAAGTTGTAGTCCTAGTGGAGACAAGTCTATGGCTAGTCTTGGCTTGTCAATTGGTAGTTGTTTGAGCAAGATATAAGCAAAATAAAAATGAAACATTGGCAAATTTGTTAAAAAATGCAAAAATTAGAAGTGAATAAAATCCTTGCATGTCTTAATGAAAGTTGTAGTCCTAGTTGAAATGAGTCTACGGCTAGTCTCACCTTGTTAATTGGTAGTCATTTGAACAAGATATAAGCACAATGAAAATGAAACATCGGCAAATTTGTCAAAATGCAAAAATAAAAGTCAGTAAAATCCTTATGTGTCTTAATGAAAGTTGTAGTCCTAGTTGAAATGAGTCTATGATTAGTCTTACCTTGCCAATTGGTAGTCATGTCAGACCCTATTATTATGTAGGAATTATATGGTCTGAGAGACACCCTCCTCCAGGAGGCTGCTCCCTAGTTTTATAGGGCTGAGTAGATCTCCCCCGAGAGGATAAATGCCGACCCTCGTGGCAGAGGGTGAGGGTAGCCTCCTGGTATGTTCCTGGAGAGCCTCAACGTAGCACCTTCTCCAGATGCTCACCACTTGTTCTGCGATGTTGATGAGTATGATAGTGGATGTGTTGTAGAGCCTCTTGAATCTATATGTTTTCCATACTTCTGTATTCCGCTTTGAATGCTTTATTTTATTTTTCTCTCCCATTCTTATTGCACAAACAAGTTATTCAGACGCAACAGCATGCATTGACTAATACAACAACAAGAACAAGGTAATCAACGACAGTAAAGTCAGATGCGGAGGCTCGAAAGGTACATGGTGATATACAATATATGTGGCGGATGGACTAAACACAATGGATACAGCCAAACGCACCAGTCACAAATGAGGCTCGTGAGCTTAAGGCGCTTGTCCACCACTGTCCAGGATTAGGATACTCACGCCCATGTCCATGTTGATATATCCCCCCAACACCATAATACACGCCGCTCACCGGGTGCCAATAATCCTCATGGTATCCATCATAACCATCATGAGGGTGGAGGAACGCTGTGGCAGGTTGCGTGGATTGACAGAGACTTCTGCTGGGTCAAGATTATGGATATGCCAATGGGAATGCACCAGGAGGGGACTTGAAGGTGATGACTGTAGATAGAGCTTGAGGATCGTGACACTGATACGAAGGTAATGTGAAGGAACTCGCCTTCAGGTCTCATATATCGGCGTTTTGAGCGACGAGGCATGATATTGCGATGGAGCAAATTGATGAGATTCGAAGATGGGCTCAGTGGCATGGGTGGAATCAGTGAGAAGGGAGGACGTACTAGGTAAGGATATGGGGACCATAGATAGAGTTCAGCTGAGAGGGAGGGATCGCGGGCTGTTCTGATGGCGATAGTCTGCAAGAAGCATGCTCGATTTGTGGTATATGAGTCAGGGAGGGAAACATACCTTTGGATGAGGAGAGTGTTGATGTGGCAGTGAGTAACTTCGCATTTGCTGTCATGAAGCGGTCTTAGTAGCAATAACGATAAAGAAAGGAAATGTTTGCTTTATTAAGCAGATAGTTTTTTGGGTGGAAGCCCCGAAGGGGCAACCCAGCCCTGATGGCGGCCCCAACCTGTGCGAGAGAGAGCTGAGGTGAGCTGCGATTCCCAGGTGTTAGGAGTGAGAGTGACGCAGCAAAGTGAACCTCGGATCCCAAATATTAGAAGCCCCAGAGTGATGCTTCGAGGTGAGGAAAGCGCTGTTGGAAAGAAGAGATAGTAGCTTGAGGGCGTCCGCGTGAGCGATGTAGCGGGCATCTGCGTGAGCGATGTTGCAGGCATCCGTGTGAGGAAGATTGCGGGCATCTGCATGAGCAAAAGTGCAGGCATCTGCATGAGCAAAAAAGCGGGCATCCGCATGAGAGAATATGTGGGTGTCCGTGTGAGCAAGGTGCGGGGAAGAGCAATGGGAGGGATAAAGTAAAAACCAGTATGCAGGGCAGTCTACTTCACCTTGCAGTGAGTAAGCAGAAGTCAATAGGATTCGTCACTGAATCGACCTATAAAATTGGTGAATTGCTTTATGTACGGGGTGAGAGGTCTAGCTGGCAGGACTTACCCCCACTCCATTCGCATAGAGGCATAATATATTCAGTGCAAGGCTGACGTACTTTGATAAAGAACACTCAAACAGCAGATGGACCTGACTGAGGACAGTGCTGAGTGCCCGACAAAGAATATATCAGTTCCCCATCTAGAGTCAAGTCTACATGCGCAACGTACCTAAATAGTATCGAGACCCTGGTCCTTTGCGAGCGCATGAATGAAAGAGCATACTAATCCTTGCTAAGCCAGCTGCAGAACCTGCCGGTGAGTGCAGAGAGGTACAAGAGGGTGCAAGGTGACAGGCAGTGCTAGAGAATGAATGCGGGAGGGTGTGGGCAGCTTAGCTCTATGATAGTTGTCAATAGAAAGAAGAAAAGAAAGCAATGAAAAACTTACGAGCCAGGAAGAGAGTATGAGAGGTCTCGCAACAAAACAACAAGCACGGACACAGTTGAATGAGAGCATCGACATGCTGTGATCGCTGTATTACATGAGTGGGATCGGCCATGGCACCATCAGCATCGGGAAAGGAGCCCACAAGATGACATCACACACCATAATTGGACGCTAAGCGAAAAGAGCCGGGATTTCTGCCATGGAAGACAAAGCACCAAAGAAGAGAGCACAGAGGAGAGGTTATGCCAATACACAATTTTGGAAGCAAGATACGCACAAGAACAGGACACCACCACGATAAAAGTAACCAGGGGTTGCATCAGGCAGCTTGAAGAACATGGTACCCATAATGATAGACTGGAAGATTTGCACACTGATGCAAAGTTGTTGGTCAGTGATTGATGAACCATTATTGTCTGTACACATACACAAGGTTGATGGCTACAGTGCCCCAATCTCCTTCGATACTCTGCATGCGACGCACCATGACGTCTCTAACCTCTATATGAAGGAGCCATGTTGGCGTGCTCCATCACGACACTGTCTGTATGCATCCTTGCAATTGGGCTTCCTGATGTTATGGGAGCAGTAGTGCTCAATGGAGTCATGGGAGGCAGTGCATCGAGGTCCTTCACACAATTGGCAAGCATCGGGGTCCATAGCCCTGGCGAGACTCATGGATTTGCACATTAGATAGGTTGTCTCAATCCAGATGAACATAGACTTACCCAGTGTTGGTGTTAGCATGTTGGAGGGCTGTTAGAACGCAGGTGATGCAGGTTACCACCAGAGGGTGTGGTTGTGCGTGGTTGCCAAGCATGTCATCCAGACCATGACAGCGGCTGTAGATGAAGCCTGCATGAACAGAAATGAATACACATAGACAGATTTAAAAACTTACCTAGACCAATCGGTGTGCTTTGCGGGCACATCATAGATGAGAACGTGCTCATCATTGAAATTGAGCAGGGGAATGATAGGGTCAAAGGATGCTGGGACTTGATCAACATCTTGGAGCTGAAGCGCTGAAGTGCTGAAGCCTGCTTGATCTGAGAATCCAATACACAAGATCATGTGATGCGACACGACATGTGAATCCAATGCGAATCCGACGTGAATCATATGTCTGAGATCAGTTTGAGAAGGCACTAGGTACTACCTGTGCCTACCTTAAGCCTCTCACAAGCATCTCACGAGCCTCCTGAGGTACTCTTGAGAGGCTTAAGCAGCCAATCAAGTGACGAATAAAAGTCCGACTAAAACATAAAACATTGATTGTTGACCCAGCACTCACCACAAAAACATCCTAGATCAGAACATAGTCACCCACTAGAAACACTTGCGCATGCAATATCGCAGACACAAAGGATTTGCGGTCATGCACACTTGTAGCAGGGTAATCAACAGGTATCGGCCGTTGAAGATTGTGCAGCGCGCTAGTCAGTTTGCTTGATGAAAGAACAATAAAATATCAGATTGTGTTAACAAGGAATAAATCCAGACTTGCGCAGAAAACATCCCATTTATATCTGACCACATCTTACACCGTACGAATGTAACAAGATGTAGAGACTGCTCAATACTCCCGATATCTTGCACAGCGTTGCACATCTGAACAACATTATTAACGAAAGCACTTAGCTTTTTGTATTCTGACATCAATAATGTGGAAACTGGGGATGGCGTACCGCGCAACTGCACCAATGCTCCTTCACTAAGAAATAATTGTTTGTATCCATGGAAGGCAGGTAGAATTGGTAGATCGTACACCCGCACGGTTTCAAGTTCCTTCAGGATGCGATGCATAGTTTCAATATCCTCAAGGAGGGTGGGACTAGCTTCTGATTTTGATGGAGAAAGAGATGAGATGAACTCGTGTAAGAGGTAAGTCATCTCATCGCACCAGAGCAGACATAAGTGTCTTGAAGGCGTTCAGGGAAGAAGATATGTGAGAATAATACTGCTCGAGGATAGGAAGTAGAACATGAAATAAGGAACCGTGTGCAATGGACAAAAGAGGGAATGGGAGAGTAGCGATCTGTTTCACCTTCAAGGGGGGCGCAGCGACCGCACAACATTTCCTGCACACCAAATCTCCTGGTCGTAGATCTCCTTCAGCTCTTTGGTAAGATCTTGGTGGTATGTCGAGCTGTTGAATTCGAAAGACTTGTGGGTTTCTGTGCCGTTTTGCAGTGCCCTCTGTGCGAGCAGTCACAATCCGAGAGCATCGCAGGAAGATCCTTGATCCATGCACCAAATTGCTTGGTGGTAGCGGGCATGTGTCCTGCAGGGATGGGTTAGTATACATGAGACAAGTCATGTACTTGATGCGGTTCACGAGGCTACAAAATAGCTGGTCAATGTTGTGTGGTGGAGAGGTTTAACTTACAAAAGCACCCCATCCTCATCAATCTGTTGCTAGTTTCCCATGCGCTCTGCTAGGCCAAAGGCGAGTAGCGTGATCTGTGCCATGATGTAGATGGACATACCAACTGACAGGTGCCGGACCACTGGACTTTAGAGATTTCCACTTTCTTGAAGCAGGCCCAGAGCTTGAATTGGGAGTTTCAGTATGTAGTTGATGGGAAAGGGAAAAGGACTTAGTGGGTGAACACTGAACAATGAACATACAAGTAACATGTCAGGCACGGTACGAGGTCTGCATTTGGTAAGCGAGCCATCATCCTTGAACCCTATACAGAGGCTCAATGAAATCTTCGAGGAATGCAAGGTGACTCACAGCCTGAGAGGAGGTCCGGAATATGATGCAGAGGGTCCCGGGAGGGTAGGGAGGGTCGAGGGAGGCACTGTGGGAGGGTCGAGGGAGGCGCTGTGGGAGGATTCTGGAGGATTTTGAAGGAAGGAAGGTGTGGCTATAATTAGAACATCGGCGAGCCTGGGTCTCTTAGACCTATTAATCCTAACATAATAACACCGTCTCACAGACCTGTAATACTACCGAAAAGTGCTGCCTGAGGTGAGAGTTTGTGAGTAATATATTCACTCGCTCACCTTGCAATTGATGACCACATCTTAGCAGATGGTGGAAATACGGCATTGAAATATCATTGTTCCACATCTTTGGGCCGAAGGCAGGTCAAACCGACACAGGCCACCCTTGGAAGACATTATCTTGTGCCAGCGATTATGGAGAGTCTGCGAAGGATAGAAATGTTACATCTCATGAAGATATGTTGTCAAGGTTGGGAAGGATTGTAGCGCATTGTCATTAGTTATTCACATTGTGTATTGTATCATGGCTCCTCAACATTGGACCTTTTGCAACTTTGATCCCACATAGTCTGGCCATATATAGCTCTATCTGACATTGGCATTCTTCTGGAGATTATGAAGGAAGAAAAAACTGCAGAAGGTTAAATGCCATGACCAGGGAAGCACAAAATTGTAGTGTATTACAAGTGATACTCAACCAGGTGATTGTGGGGTATTTTAACAAAATAATATTCCTTTGTTGCGATGGCAGACATTACAATACATGCCATCTTGATGATGAACTGGTAAGGAAACTATCACAAATGTGTATTTGGCGGGTTCTATCCGACTTAGTCCGGGTATTTAAAGCTTTCTCAGGTGAAGTGCAATTATGATACATATTATACAAATTGTGCTTCAGATAAAGCTTTCTCAAATATTATCATTTTCGCGTCGGTTTCCTGATGTAATCCTTCGTTCGTGCCTCACTATGTAATAGAGCAGTAAACTTTCCTGCGCGGTAAGTTTAACTCTCCGCTGGACTCAACATGTCGATTTTCGAAAAAAAAACTAGCAGACGTTGTACTTTCGATGTCACACTGTCAAACTGTCAAAGAATTAATTTTTTTGTTTGTGCGATGTGGAGTAATAAATGTTTCGCCAAAAATGCGCGGACTCCTGTGGACATCTAGTACTTGTAGGGCTTGAACACGAACTCGTAGGACCATCTTGAACCGAATTGGAGTTTATGTCCCATCCATGCCTAGTGCAAGGGTGTCCCTTCTTCCACCACTCTTTACTCTCTTACTGTCTGTTGGTAATGGCTCGAAATCCAGATTCGCTCCTCGACCTACCTCCTGCAAACGCCGCAGCGCTTGCTTGTGCTTTAACCTCCCTAATTCTCTCTTGCTAAAACCCCCATCATTTGATCCAATATCTGCAGTTGCCACATCATCGATACCCATCTCAGTCAAGTCCTGGGTCCTGTCCTCAGCCACAGCCTCGATATGTTTGGGAAGCGCCAAGAGATCTAAGTATAGGTCCAGAACTTTGAGATCAACTTGGGTGGCTAGAATTCCCGTCATAATTGAGTCTGAAGTAGAAACGATACAAATTTACCGGGCAGGGTGCGAGAGTTAAGTGCCAAAGCCAATGGCGGAGGATCGCTTGCCGTGAACTGTTAATAATAGCACTGTGAGCAGCCGATCAGTTTGGTAAGGGAGAAAATAGGTAACATTGTTAAGTGTCCATCGTCGTACTTCGACTAAATTCGAGTCGTCGCTTTCGCCTTTACTACTCCAACCTCCTTGTGAAGATCGATCAGCATCGAGTAAAACCCAAATAGAGCCATCGTCTTCCAGGGTGAAGTCAATGATAGGTTTATAAAATGGCTCATGCTGTATACAAGCCTCAGAGTCGTCATTTATTGGAAACCAAAAGATAGCAGTGGCTCTGTCCATATCATTAGCTGGCACAATGTGCGACATACAAGACTTACCCGACTACACTGAACACGATTCTTGGCACTGGCGAAGGGATTGATGATATCCTGTGCACCACAAACACGACCTCGCTTTCTTCTGTCGACACTTCTCCAGGTTGTCCCTCAGGCGTTGCTGAATTTTGGCTTTCTTCCGTGTCCCCGTCGTCACCACTTCGTTTTTCTTTGCGTTTACCTGGATTTTTTCTTCGTCCTCTTTTTCTTTCAATTGGCTCTATATCCTCGTCTTCATTCTTCCACCCCCTTTTCTTTTTAGGCGCCTTTACCGCGATGAAGGGTTGAACGGCAGAAAAGACATCGATGTTACGTAGCAGTTTCCCGCTCATCCAATCCCATAGTTTTAACACGGAATCTCCGCCGCCAGAGATAAGTGTCCTTGAAGAAAATGAAGGAATATGAAGTGCAGAAACGTATCTGAATCATGTGGTATTAGCGTTTCTGAGCTCAGAGAGAACAAGGCTTCGCACTTTTGGTGACCGAGGCAGTAACTCTCAATCGTGTATCCCTGTGGGTACCAGCTGACTCTGATGTGTTCGTCTCTATCGGCAGTCACAATATACTGCCCGTCAGCGGTCAGCAAAAATGTAGTCAAGAGGGAAGCGTGACCCAGAATGAGTTCCCCGCCAGAGGGATTTTCATGAGATGACAAAGCGTCACGCCCGCACCCACTGGATGATTCATTTGAGTTTGGGTGCAGCTGATAACTAGAGCACGACAAGTTAAGTATAATATTGTTTGATGTCGAACATCCTACCGGAATATGTCACCGAATTTGTCTGCAACAAGTATGTCTTTATGATTCGCAAAATTGATATGTGTTGGCTTCTTCGGCAGTACTCTGCGCTGCCTTCAGAACAGCAAAGGTTGGAGGTTTGGAAGTACATACCTTGAACTGAGGAGTTTTAGATCATCGACTTGCCAGGTCTTGAGCTTCTTATCATCTCCTGAAGTTGCAAGGTACTTTCCGCAATCACTCAACGCAGCACAACGGATGGGACCTGGTGCAATTTGATCTTCCTCACATTTTCCGGTTGAATGTAGGACATCACCCGTACTGAAAAGAAAGTAGTAAGTGTCGGAATGTAAAAAAGAAAAGAAGTGCTACTTAGTGTCAAGGACTTGTATGTGAGGTCCTGCGATAACGATGGAGCGCTCTGATTGCCAAAATAAACGGGTGTAAGGGTATCGAGACATGTTGATCGATGGATTGTCGGGCTAGCTACCTGAGTCACTGGGCCGAGTACGTAGGAGGATGATCCGAGTACCGACGGCCCATACTTCAACTTGTTCAAAATTGAACAATCGTTAACATTTCTTCAGCCACCTCTGACTCGACTTCTTCCTATTTGGCCCAGGGGAGATTGCAACTAATTTTGAAGGCGTCGTTATTGCGAATCATGCGCACCGCGATTCCAATCACTTCTCGTCCCTTAGACCTAGTCTACTTCGTCTTTTTCTTGGTGCGTCAAATTAGTTATCAAAAATCCCACATACTTAACAGAAATAGGTCCATATACCCGCAACTTTGCTCATTGATCTGCAAGCCCTGTATCCTCCTTGGTTAATACCGTATTTCATACGTGCTCTTCCACGACTATATATCCAAATGTCGAACGACCCGCTGATCGGAAGCGTCTTGGGAATGTTGGGAGATAGCAAGCCTTTTGTTTGGTTCAAGACCTTCCTTGCAGTTGAAGCGTATGAGAGTCTCTGACTAAATGTTGTTCCCTATCCTAAACTGCGTCTACGTAGCCTCTTTCAATTTCCTGTCTTCATACTCGGAGCAAGAGGCCTTTGGCGAGGTGAGACATCCCTGAGTTATATCTCTTGAAACGTGAATATGTGTCTAATCAGCATTCAGATTCGCGATCCATATATGTGCTTCTCCTTGTATACGCCGCATCTACCACCACCACGACTTTACCATGTCTGTCTGTCTTGCTGGCGACGCCTACAACCAGTGCGCAGACCATAGCTAACAAAATAGTCTCTGTAACAACCTTTCAACGCTCCCTGCTGTTATCGAGCTACATTCCATTCTTCGTGATACCCCTCATAATGACGATCGATATGGCTTCTCGCCTGTCCAAACTGGTGACGACAGGGATAGACGCTGCTGATGAGAAGAAGGCGTCATAATATTATCATAATGCAGTCCAATGTTTCCTTTCGAACCAAGACCCTTAGCCCCACTCAATAATGATTTTGTTTCATGATAGGTCTATGAGAGGTACCACTTGACAAAATTAAACAAGTAGTTGTGCGGTGAACTTCAAAATTTCACACCTGTGACTCCTCTAATAAAACAATTTTCAGATGAAAATCACGCAGTACGCCCAGTACACCTGCACCTGGTGACCTTATGCAGTAAGGTTAGTGAAAGATCTAATGTGCACATGTGCTTAGCCATTCTCATCTCGTCACAGGACAGGGCTCCATGAAGCATACCGCCGTTAGTATCTGACATTGCAACTCTTGCAAAAATATTATCGTTGGCGGTGCATGGACAGTATCGACGACTGCGGCGGCTACCGTACGGGGGTGAGTCACCCCATTCACATTGTTGGGCATCAAAACTGGCTATCTGCCTAGCACCGTTCGTCGTCTGCGGGAGTTAACAGTGACATAGATGAATTATCATGGATTATTTTGCCATGCTTTCCTTCGCTTTGTTATATATCTCAACCCAATATTTGACTATGATGCATGCGGCATCATGCTCGGGCTGCCCTCAACTCGCGTGAACAGTTTACTTTCCGAGGCCTGAATATGTTTCTTCAATCTTGTGAAGTTGCACGGATTGCTATTGAGAATCAAGAAATTGTATACATATGCTGAAGTGATATATACATCGAAAGGAGATAATAATGAAATCAAGTCAAAGGACCCTCATCTGAACCATCTAATTCATCGGTGGGGCTTAAGCCCTCTTCCTCGCCGTTGTCATCATCTTCTTCGTCATCGTCGTCGTCGCTTTCTTCCTCACTTTCATTGAACATAAGAGAAATATACTCATCCCCGAGCCGGGCATCCTCGACCGCGACATGCTGTGAACTCAAAACATCGTCAGAACTAGTATCAGAACCAGGTATGACAGTGGAAGAAGTAGCAGCAGCAATATCCGAAGTCAATGAGGCTGTTGGCACTGGAGGCTTGCGGTTGCGGTTGGCACGAATAACGTGCGGAAGCTTGCATCCTTTTGTCGAACAACTTCCTTTCTCAGCAAAGTCTGGGCACTCTCTGATATGTTGCATCTCGCAGTCGAGGCCCTTGGCACAGTAACCAAGTACTGCGAAGTCGCGACACACGCCGCGTTGCTGTCCCACACGGACGTGAGGAAAGTGACAATTTTCTCGAGTGCACCGTCCGTTGTTGGCAAAATGCACGCAGAGAGGCGTCCGTTCAGGGGTCGGCTCGTGTGAGAGGTTACAGGTTTCAGCCGTGCTGGAGCAGTTGCCATGCAAAAAGTTCCAGCAGATGGCGATCTTGTTAGGGTCATGCTGGTACATGCAAGTCAGACCGCGGCTGCAGGCACCTGTTGCAGCACAGGCATTGGGTGGATACAGATTTAGCAAAGGTACCGTGAAAAAAGAGGCTGGCCACGCACCTGTAGTTGTGAAGCGGGGGCAGGGTTTGTCCAGGTATTTCATGCGCTTATTTTTGCGTCTAGTAGATGTCATCAGGTTGAATCTGTAGCAGAAACTTAATCGGTGGACGGACTGTTGAGAACCTCGAGTGTTATCTAGAGTCATATTCCGGTTTCTTGGCCGACGCTGACGAGCGCGGGACGAAGTCTTGGGTTTGTATGCACGGCCAGTCGGGATCAAGTGCCCTGTTGTTGTTCTGGAAAAATCTACTTGTTGGGGAATTGGCCGAAGTGGAGCCTTGGGTGGAGCCGATGGAGGCTTTGGCACTGTAATCGACATTCCGCGGTTATAAAAATGCAACTAACCTGTAACCAGATACTGACAAGGAGACAAACTCACAATCTTTGCGCACGAGAGATCTAGTTGACGATTCGAAAGTCACACCATCGATAACAACGTCATGGGTAGACGAGGCTTGAGGTGGACGGGGTGGTTTTGTAAGCGGGTGGGTATACTTTGTTGCTGGTTTCTGATATTCGGAAGGTCTATAAAATGCTGGCGGTTTATACTTTGGATTAAAATATGCGTTGCTCCTGGGGGCTGAGAAGGATTCAACGGATTGCTGAGTCGATTTATGTTGACTGATGGCACCTGCGTGGCTTGTGAAAAATAATGTCCCAATAAAAAAAGTAATCTCACCTGTCAGTCGGGCGATTTCTTCCTTCAGCGCTGCGTCTGATGTTGAAGCCATGATGGATGTCGAAGAAGAAGAAATTGGTCAGCTCCAAATGACGATTAACCAAAGTTGGAGCATGACAAACATAAGTACACATATGCACAGTCACTACCGAGCTTGAACTTATATACCACGAAGGCATGATGGCTCGACACAAAAGACCTAACAAACAGCAGCCTTCTTGCAAGGTACCACTGTCACGAACCAAGCCTTTGTTCTTATTGAGCCTGTTTGCTGCGGTTTTGTGGCTCTGGATGCCGAATCATTCTAAATCAGATGTGTCGGACAAGGTCAACGACGTTCTGCGTACACCAATGAACTTGTCTACATCACCCATCGAAAATGGCTCTCTGACGGCTATACTGCCAGTTACTCTTCATTCTTTTGAAGGTCTCGAAGCTTTGCTGTCCCCGTTTCTCGTTCCTTTGGACACCGTTCGAGAAGTCTTTTTGATCTGCCCACAAACAATCCTTTCAGATGCGCGACGGTTACTCAAGAAGATCTTGTCATACAATGACGCCGTTGACCACCCTAATATCTCACTGTTACCCTACACAAGCTCTTCGTTCTACAACAGTACACTTACGAGTGCCGTGTTTCGAGTTAGAACGGAATGGGTTCTTGTTCTCGACAGCTATGGCTTGCGAGACCTCAGCAGTGGACAGCAGGCCTATTTACTCAGTCCACTATCCGTTTCCCTACCAGTCGGACCTAATGGCTTCCTCCGATTCCCTGCCAATTTCAGTCGTATACTTGCGACTAGCGATTTCGAGCCTGCCGAGTACCTCATCCCTCCCTTCGTGGCACCCACCTATCTATTCCCTCGCACTTTTTCGCATCTCGCCGATTCTGATCCTTGGGTTGCTTTTGGCGTGCACGTTGCGAAGATTCATATCGAGAAGATAGGAGGGTTGGTTCTTCCATCCGATATCGACAACCTCCGATGTTGCGAACAAAACTTCCACCTTCCATCCCTCGAAACAACTCGGATAGAGCACAACCAGACATGGATTCTATCAGCGGACAACGACAGTCGTACGCAAAAACGGCCGACATCAGCTTGGGGTCATCTCGTTCTGACCGTTCCTCATTTAGAAGATCTCCGTGCTTTCATGCCTATTGTCTGCAGACTCCAGTCGGTTGGTCATACCATATCGGTCTTGCTGTACCAGGCGTCATCGAGCGATACCATCTATTGTTCTTCTGAGGACTGCACTCTTCAGTGCTCAACCCTTTCTTACACCGCTCCGACCTTGCATAGTTGGCTGGATTCTCTGGATGCTTCACCCGATGTTATCTTCGCTTTGGACGTTCAAGATTTTTTGTCTGTTACGTTCACGATGGTTCTTCTACACGAGCCCTACCGTAAAACCACGTTCATTAGATTACCTCGAGCTGACATACCACACTCAGAGTGGATCGGTTCACTCACCCTTCGTGAACTTCGCAGTTAGTAACAAGCGTCATTCTCGTCGTTATTATCTAACCGAGAGCAGACTGGAATGTACCCGAAATCACCATTAGCGTCATAACCGATCATAGACCTCACTCTTTGCAACGGCTGCTGACGTCCTTGACCCGTGCTCTGTACTTTGGAGAAAGAATCGGACTGCGTATCAATCTGGAGCAGACTGCCGACTTCGAAACCTTGAGGGTCATACAAGATTTCGAATGGCCGCATGGCGACGTCTTTGTCCACCGCAGGGTCATACATGGCGGTCTCCTCCCTGCTGTCGTCGAGTCTTGGTACCCAAACTCCAACGATTCTTATGGCTTAATTTTCGAGGATGACATCGAGGTGTCTCCCTTGTTCTTTGCGTGGATCAAGATGACTGTCTTGAGATACCGGTAAGTTAACTACGAATTTTAGCAAGTTTTCCCATGATCAACACATTTTTTGGAGGTATGGTGGACCCGAAAATATCTCTCCGTCTGTGTTTGGCGTCAGTCTTTATCAGCAAAAAATGATCGAGCTCAGACCAGAAGGCCGGAGGTCTTTCGATGCTAGGGCGCTTTTCGCCACCGATGGCATCCTGAACCCTAGCACCCCATACTTGTCCCAGATACCCTGTAGCTGGGGCGCAGTCTACTTCCCAGAACACTGGCGCGAGTTTCATGACTACCTCTCGATCCGCCTCTCCGAGTACTCTATGAAAATACAAGAGAATGTCATTCCCGACATCCGCTCCAACAAGTGGGTCAAGTCATGGAAGAAATACTTCATCGAGCTCGTCTATCTTCGTGGCTATGTCATGCTATACCCGAACTACGACAACTTCACATCACTATCGACTAATCACCTCGAGATTGGCTCCCATGTCAAAGACCAACCAGAGGAAGAGTACCTTCGCAAGAAAGCGTTATTCATGCTTCCCTTAATGCCGTTGACGAATGCCTCATTACCACTTTGCCCCGGCCTGCTTGACTTGCCAGAGCGGAAACTCCCTTCCTTACCTTCCTTGCCTGTTCTAGATCTCATGGGAAAGCCTTGTTTGGCATCAGAACTGTTGGAAAGAGGCACCAAGCGTCGGATGGAGCTTACTGGCTGCAGTGCTACCATCTCTTTGACTTACGACGCTCGTGAGCTGATGTGTCTTCAGGAGTTCACTTGAATGTCGAATAATTGCTGGTGGGCATTTATCGCAGCGGCTCGCACTACTCTTTTTTATCGTTGTTTGTCCGTTGGAAAAGTTGTGCAATCTCAAAGATTTTGACATTTCAGCACACTATGGCAAAGAGAAAAATTGATTCAATCTAAGGTAATTAAGTCAATGAGCAGCCCATTTTACTTGGATGAGTGACAAGCCGTGAGTTATTTTATCTTTCTAACGACGCAAGCAATGATAGTGATACATGATGAGGTCCGAACCACAGCCAGAATCACACC